TAGTAGTAGTAGTAGTAGTAGTAGTAGTAGTACGTAGTAGGTAGTAAGTAGTAGGTAGTAGGTAGTAGGTAGTAGGTAGTAGGTAGTAGGTAGTAGGTAGTAGGTAGCAGGTAGTAGGTAGTAGGTAGCAGGTAGTATGTAGTAGGTAGTAGGTAGTAGGTAGTAGTAGTAGTAGTAGTAGTAGTAGTAGTAGTAGTAGTAGTAGTAGTAGTAGTAGTAGTAGTAGTAGTAGTAGTAGTAGTAGTCAGTAGTAGTAGTCAGAAGTAGTAGTAGTAGTAGTAGTAGTAGTAGTAGTAGTAGTAGTAGTAGTAGTAGTAGTAGTAGTAGTAGTAGTAGTAGTAGTAGTAGTAGTAGTAGTAGTAGTAGTAGAATTAGTAGTAGTAGTAGTAGTAGTAGTAGTAGTAGTAGTAGTAGTAGTAGTAGTAGTAGTAGTAGTAGTAGTAGTAGTAGTAGTAGTAGTAGTAGTAGTAGTAGTAGTAGTAGTAGTAGTAGTAGTAGTAGTAGTAGTAGTAGTGGTAGTAGTAGTAGTGGTAGTAGTAGTAGTAGTAGTAGTAGTAGTAGTAGTAGTAGTAGTAGTAGTAGTAGTAGTAGTAGTAGTAGTAGTAGTCTTGGAGAGCCCTCAGGCCGTCTCGGGGACTTGTGGGTCGCTCCTGGGCGTCTCTCGGCACGTCCTCGGGCTTCCTTCGGCCACTGGGGCCTACCTGGGGCCGTCTTGCAAGCCTCCCAGGGCCGTCTCGACGCCCTCCTGGCCGCTCTTGGGGCCTCCTTGGGCTGTCTTGAAGGCCTCCTCGGGCCGGCTCGAAGCCCTCCTGGGGCCGCTCTTGGGGTCCGCCTGGGCCGCCTCGGCGCCCGTGCGCGGCCTGCGGCCACTGGCAGCGCCCGTGCGCGGCCAGCCCTGGCCCGGGAGCCGCTCGGCCTGGCCCGGGTGGCCGCGGCTCTGCGGCCACCCGGCGCCCTTTCGCTCCGCCGCTGGCTCTTCCGGCATCGCGGGGGGGGGCCAGGGGCAACGTTTCGGGGGCGGCAAAGAGGGGGGTGATGACTAGGGGGGGGGTGGATATCATGGCGGGGGCCACGATGTCTGCCCAGATTTCAGGGCGCCTCTTCTTATTTCATTGCGTCCCTGGCCCCCCCTCAAGGGCCGCGCACATGCCGCCGGCCATGATTTGCACCCCCCCTCTTGGACGCCCCCCTCTTGGCCGCCCCCAAACGTTACACTCACCGAGCGCGTTCCATTACTCGCAAAGTGCCTACTCGCAAACGCTCGGAAATCGCATGCCTGTTCTGATGTGACTTCTCGTAGGTCCCCCGCGGTGGATCCAGGCCATTTGCGAGTAGTTATTCTGCGGTTCGTGGAGCGCGCTCGTCTATACACGCTGGTCGCTGGAAGTAGGTATCTTGGGATTCCCAGGTCCCGATCTACGTCAAGCGCCTTCCCACTTCAAGAAGCGATCAGTGTTTGTAGTTTTTGTTGCTCTTCTTTGGGCGGGCCTGAACCCAATCTACCCGATCCGTCTTCCTACATGTTTCCACACACTTCTTTTCCGACTGGCGGGTAGGGGGGGTGATAGGTTCAGGGGGAGCCTCGAGATTCGAGGTTCGACGTGGTCTGACATTGCCCTAGGCTCGCGGCGGCTTTCCAGCCTCGGGATGCGTTCCAGCAGATGCTCCCGAACGGCCCCCAGAGAGCCAAGTTATGGCCCGAAAGCCAGAGGGAACGTCATAAGGGGGATCCGTTTGGGAACCTTTGGATCGCGTGTCGCTCCGCCGGTTCTGGCCCACCACCCTTCGGCGCGACACGCTATGCACTTCCCAGTCCCGAAGCTTCAGCGTCCCGAGCGGCTCCCACCCTCCCACCCCGCGGAGCGGAGCGACACTCCTGGCCGCTTGCACCGCACGGCGGGTCGCCGGGGCCGCCGCGGCGGCACGCTGCGCAGAAGCTCCCGGCCGCGGGCTCAGTCGGGGGCGAACTCCGAGCCCTGCGCCGATCAGCGATTCGGGCGGCGGGGGTTAGGGGCTCGGAGTTCGCCGCACCCGTGGCGATCTCCGAACCCTACCCCGCCCGCCGTCGATCCAGGAGAGCCAGTGGTTGGTGCGGGTAGGGTCTGGATGTCGTCACCTTCTTGGGGGGGGGGGACTTCTCAGAAGGGATGCGGAGCCTCGCTTTCCGCCCCAGGGCCCTCCCGCCCTTGGTGCGCCCTCCCCCGCCTCCACCTTGAGGTCGTCTCCCCTCCTCCTCCTCCTCCTCCTCCTCCTCCTCCTTCTCCTCCTCCTCCTTCGTCTCCTCCTCCTCCTCCTCCTCCTCCCTCCCTCTTCCTTCCCTACCTCTTCGTCCTCCTTCTCCTCCTAATCCTCCTCCTCCTCCTTCTCCTCCCCTCCCTCCCTCCCCCCGTTCCCTCCGCTCCTCTGCCCCCCTCCCTCCCTCTCTCCCCGGTCCCCATGATTCTTCTTCCTCGCCTCCTCTTCCTCGCTGCATTGCCGAAGTTCCGTACATGTGTCCCCTCGCTGTGCGCTGACAGGGCAGCGGTTGGGTAGCTGGGCAGGGCTCCAAGCGTTGGACGACCGTACGATGTTGGTGGCCCCGCGTTGCGATCCCCACTCGTTCTGGTCAGGCGGTGTCGCTCGTCCAGCTGCCAACCGCGGTCCTCCCTCCTCCCTCCTCCCTCTTTCCCCCCCTCCTACCCTCTCGGTCCTAGGTGGGACGGGCTCGGTTGGATCGGGTTGGGCTTGCGGCGCTAACGCGAGAGCCACATTCTGAAAGCAGCCCGCCCTCCGTCCTTGAAACTGTCGCAAACAAATTCCAGGCGTCTGAATCATGAATGGTGGGGAAGTCTCCGGCGAAACACCCGGCCCGCCCTGCAGACACGTCTGCGACAGGGAGTTCGTTCACAAGGAACACGGATGAAGCAAGCGAGCGAGCAGCCGAGAGGCGGTTGGGTCCGGGACGGGCCCACACGCCCCTCAAACTGGGGAGCCACCTCCAGAAAGGCGGGGCCCGCAGCCGTCCGCTTTGCTGGAAACAGCTGCCACAAACACCTCGGCCGCGGACGAATAGGAACGGGGGAGGAGGAGGAGGAGGAGGAGGAGGAGGAGGAGGAGGAGGAGAAGGAGAAGAATGAGGAGGAGAAGAAGGGGGAGGGAAGAGGAGGGGTTAGGATCGATTGGATGGATGGATGGATGGATGGATGGATGGATGGATGGATGGATGGCGTCCACCCACCAGGCGGCATGATGAGACCCTGGGCGTGGTCCCCTTTCAGCTGGGGACTCCGGGTCCGGGAGGGCGACGCTGGCGACCCTGCAGCGACCAGCCGGGGCGTGGCTGCTGACCGAGGGAGGGCAGCTGGCCTCCAACATTTTGATTTCGAATTAGCGCGCACGCTCGTTCTAATGTGTTGCAATGCAACGGCTTCGAGAATAGAGGGCGGCTGGTTTTGAACATAGGGTTCTCGCCACAGCGCCATGCACATTTGTTACAAACGTTTGTAATAGCTTTCAGTATGGAGGGCGGCTAGTTTTCAGAATGCGGCTCTCGCCTTAGCGCCGCGCTCATTCGTCTTACAAGCTCGCAGTCGTGTCAAGGATTCGCATGAGGAATTGTGTTCTGGTCCAATTTAGGATTGCCAGGACGCAAGAGTCACATGTTTTCGCGGCGTTGAAGTCCGAGGAATGGTGTTCTGGCACGGTTGGGGATTCTCAAACGGGTGTCTTCAACGGGGCGCATCCCGCCAGTAAAATCTATCCTTGTAGGGGCCTATGAAGAGGAGACTTGGAGGGAGGTTTTACTAGAACATCGTTGATGCGTGTCGGGTTTCCACTGTTCCTCTTCCTCCTCCTCCTCGTCCTCGTCCTCCTCCTCCTCCTCCTCCTGCCCCCTTCCTTCTATCGCCTCCTCCTCCTCCTCCTCCTTCTCCTCGTCCTCCCCCCTCCTTCCATCGCCTCCTCCTCCTTCTCCTCCTCCTCTTTCTGTCGCCTCCTCCTCCTCCTCCGCCTCCTCCTCCTCTGCCTGCTTCCACACCCTGCTCCTGCTCCTTCGCTCCCTCACTCCCCCCTCCGCTTCGGCGCCGTCAGAGGCGGAGCCCCTGGCGCTGCCTGACGACTACTACTTCTGAGCGCCGCGCGCCCCCCCTGCCGTCCCCCCTCGGCTGCGCCTGGAGGAGGTCGGCGGCGCGCTCGTCGTGGGGCGTCCGGCCCGCCCGGGCCCGGGCGCCTCTTCAGGGCCCCCGAAGCCAGGGGCATCGCAGCCCACCCGCACAGGAAGGGGGAGCTCCTTGCCAAGAGCACCCCTTGCATCCTGCCCCTTCGGTCCAGCCTTGGCCGCTCTCGCTGGCCGCGCCCCTCTCGCAGAGCGTCGGCATGGCCTTTTCCAAGGCCCTCGCTTGCCCCTGAAGTTTTCGTTCTCATTGTTAGGGTCGACTGTGATTGCCAGGGCTTTGGACATCCCGCCCCCATAGGGCGAAGCAGGGGGGGATGCTTCGACCTGCGGCTGCAGTTCCTCTCGGGCGGGCCACTCGTGCCCGCGCTGGGCAGAAAGTCTCCGCCTCGGGGGCCCCGGGCCTGTCCACGCCAGGGCTTCTTTGCGGCGGGCTCCCTCCGCGGCCGGCGCGGCGGCCGCGCCGCGAGAGGAAGCTCCCGGCCTTCTCTGAGCTTCGGGTTTCGAGGGTCGAGGATCGAGACGTGGGACGCTCTTGGGGCCTTTGTGTGCCTCCCGGCACAGACATGCGGTGTTCTGATTCTGTCAATGCGGGGTCCCCACAAGTCCCGACCCTTTCCCGGGGGGCGTTTTATTTCGTCCCGAGCATTTTTTTTGACGGTCCCGGGGCCCGGCCAGGACCCCCCACCAGAGTCGAACATGGCCAACTAAAATCCCATCGTGTTTTTTTCGCTTGCCGACTTCTCGCCAAACGACTTTTGGGGATCAAAGCGGATAAATCAAAGTAAACGCACGCAAACAAATCTAAAGATCTCCAAGGATTTTTCGAGCAACCCTTGGCCGCTCCAGCGCGAGTCGAGGGACGGCAGGATTTGTGAAGCCCTTCAAGTTAGAAAGCCCAGGTTTCGGTAGGGACTGGTTCGACCCAAACCCTTTTGAAACCCTTTGCAAATCCTCCAAGCAGCCTCCAGGAGCCCCTCCGAGAGTGTCTTCGTAGGGTCTTGGAAAGGTTTCGGTCGCTTTGGTAGGGCGACGGGATCTACACACATCCGCTGAACCCAGAAGCGGTGTATACGCTCTCTTGCCTTGGCCAGGAGGCACATGCGCCGCTGCTGCGCCCACGATTGACTAGGCCTGGGGCAGTGGACCTGCAGAGATCTCGCTGCCCCACTTGAGAGGGAAGCCTCCTCCGCCTCCTCCTCCGCCTCCGCCTCCTCCTCCTCCGCCTCCTCCTACTCCTCCTCCGCCTCCTCCGCCTCCGCCTCCTCCTCCTCCTCCTCCTCCTCGTCCTCCCTTGGGACCCTCTGGCCTTCACGAGGGTCCCCTCGCGGCCACGGCCGGGCGCGGCTCGAAGGATGGGCCGCGGCGGCGCCCGGGCGGCGTCCAGGGCCCGGGCTCCGGGCCCTGGACGGGCTCGGCGGCGGGGAGCTGGGCGGGCTCGGCGCCAGCGCGCTGGCGCGGCGGCGCTCGATAGGCGCGGGCCGCCCTCGTCGGCTGCGCGCAAGATCGTTGAGCACAATGCGGCCCCTGCCCCTGACAGCTCAAGGACTCTGTGGCCTAACTCAGGGCCACGGGTTTTAGGGATATTTGAGTGGCTCACGCCATGCCGCCGACCCCCCAGAAGGAGCGAGTGCTTGCGACCAGTTTGGAAGCTGTTTAGTGGGTCGGGAGCTTCTTGGATGCATGTGAGGGGTTCGTGGGTTGCCTCTCAGGGGCCTCTTGGGGGCATTCGTAGCCCGACTCAGGTCCACGGTTTTAAGGGATGTCACGACACGTATGGGTGCTTTCGTCGGATACATCTGCACGAAATAAGCCCCTGCCCCTGATGTCTTTGGCCCTCTAACTTAGGACCTTTCGCTGGAGTGACCGTTGCAACCCCAGCACTGGCTTGCGCGCTTGGACTTGCCCCCCGAGCGGCACCCTAAAGCCGCGCACCAAAGGTTGCCGAGGACTACTCCTGATTATGTGTAGCCGACCTCGGCTTGGAGCCGGTTGGGGGTCTGAGAAGGCCCATCACCGGGTTTGGCGAGCAGGAAGGGGGGGGGGAGGTTCAAGGCTCTCGGCTCGAACAGGTTCTTTGCCTTTTTAAGCCTCTAAGGGCCGATTTCGGGCCCCGGGACCGTCAAACATGGATCCAGGTGAAAAGCTACACCAGATTAAGCCCTGGAGCTGTCCGGGGATTGATTTTGAGCTGATTTGGCCTCGCCTCCCCCCCATCCTCGCCCCCAACCGATTTTCGGGGGCCCCAACCAGCTCAGAGCCCCTGACCGCCTCCAAACCTTGTATTTTCTCGACGGGGCCTAGACATGAGAACATTGTTTTGCGGAACGAAGTCTTAATTGGAACCCGAAGTCGATCTGCAATCTGCTCCCTCTGTCGAGACGTATGCAACACCTCAATCGAATTGGAGTATCCACGGGCGCAAGGCAGGAGTCACATACACACACATACGTGTATACATATGTATATATCTGTAGATCTATAGAGATAGGACCCTCGACCAGGCCACCTCCTCTCTTTGTTTTCGCAACTCCGTCTCTGGAGTGCATCCGCGTGCGCTAGCGTGTGACTGTAGATGTGACAGCGCCGATCCAGACGTCGATGTAGCGTCGACTTATCGCCCGATGTTGCGCCGATTTTGCGTCGGTTAGCGCGCCGCTGCTCGGATCCAAGTCGGGGGTCTTCTTCGCGGCCGAGGCTCGCCGTGACCAGAAAGGTCCTTCCGTTTCTTCTCCAGCTCTCCCTTGCGGCATCGCGACGACTGTGGTGGAGCTCGTTCCGGGTTGCACGGCCCACGCGGTGTCAGAAGCCAGCACCCACGTCGACACGAAACGAGCCTGCCGCACGCAGCCACGTCCACCGATCTGGAGGTGTGCCCCCCCCGAGGATCTCGCGGAGCGCCGGGTGGAGAGAGTTCCCGCCCTCGGGGGGGTCGGGAAGTGCCCGCCCATCCACCGCTCCGCGACACCCTCGGGGGGCAGGCCTCCAGGCCGGTGTCCCGTGGGCAGGTGCCCTGGCGTGGGGCCCAGCAGTGCGAACGTTTTTTCCGCGCGCCGCGCTCCAGGGCGAGGGGCCCTTCGCAGTCCTCGGCGGCGCGCGGAGGGCGGGGGCGGCCCGGGGGCCACCTCCCCCTTGCCGTCCTCGCCTCTCGGCCAGGCCCTGGGGCAGGGCAGCGCTTGGCGCAGCAGATGCGGCCAGGTGGCCCGGGCAGGAGGCTCCCTGCGGGCCTGGTGGCCCAGGCACGCTGCCACTCGCGAGAGGGTCTCTCGCCCGCGTGCGCAGTGGTCGCGGGAAGCCCTGCCTCTTGGCCGTCAGGGGGCCTTCTCGTCGCCACGACCTGGGCGCGGTTCGGGAAGCTGGGCCACGGGGGCCCCTGGGAGGGTCGCGGGCGAGAAACAGATCCGCATCCGCGGTCTCGCGGGCCGGGCCCCTGGGCCGCGACCCTGCGGACACGGGGCGCGGAACGCATCCGTGTGACCGCGCATCCGCGAGATCGCGCCACGTGATCCCGATTGCGAGGGCGCGGAGACGGGCGTGTTCGCCGCTCGCTGGAGGGGTCCAGCGGACAGGCTCGTGGGGTGGGGCGGGGGGGCGCCTGGCCTTTCAGAGGCCCCCCCCTCTGGGAGAGGCCTCCCTGGAACGGGGCGGTCCCCGCCAGGGAGGCCCTGCCTTCCTGGAAGGCCGCTCCCCCTGGCCCTGCCCCGCTTGCGCGCGCCGTCGACCATCGGAGCGAGGGCCCCCGCAGGACAGTTTTTGCCAGGGAGACGCAGGACTCGAATTCGCCGGACCTCGGGTCAGCCGACGCTTTTTGACGAGTCCGCCCTGGAGTTTGACGATTCAGCTTTCGTGGGACGTTTACAGCGGGAGGTCACGTGACACTTCAGACCCGGTCGCGCCATTTTCCTGACGGCACCCTGAGGCCAGCCCGAGTCCCCCGAACCCGAGTCTTACGTCTCCCCGATTTTGGTGTCGCGAGATCTCGTTGCCACCGTAGCAGCTAGTCGCTTTGACATACGCGGCGCCGCGACACCGCTGCGAGCGCATATCCTCTCGCAGCCAGGCAACAAAAAGCTCCCAGGGCCGCCGCCAAGCCCACCCCCCCTCCTTCGGCGCGGTGTCGTCTCCCGGCGGTGGCCGTCGGCTCCGCGGGGCCTCGCAGAAGAGGTCGGCCGAACATGGCGACGGCAGAGACGGCGACGGCGATGGCCACGACGGCGACGGCCACGACGGCGATGGCGGCGATGGCGGCGACCTTGATGGATGCCAGGCGAGAGCAAGGTTTCGAACAACCGCCCGCTCTCCATTCCGCAACCGTTGTGGCTCGAGCGCCCTCGGCGGCGGGTCGGCGAAGCTCGGCTTCCCAGGGGCTCTGTCTCGGCACTGAGGCCAGAGCGCGTCATTGCTGGGCACGCGGATCAATCCTCGAATGGGATGCATTTTATCCAGCGCCGCCTCCAGCGCCGCATCGCTAATTTCTGACGATGCGTTGAGCCCGGGTTCGGCTCGGAATGGGGCGGGCTCTGACTATGAGGCCAAGGAATGGGCGTGACCCGAGCACGTCCCCTGCTCGACTGCTCGCCTGCTCGGAGGCCCGTCCACCCGCTTCGTTCCGCCCGCCCGACCCGCCAGTCAGGGCCCGCTCGTTCTCCCGTGAGGGTCCGCCCCGCCCGCCTGCGCGCCCGCGCGTCTGTTGGGTCCGCCTGCCCGCCTCGTCCACCTGCCCGCCCGTTGGGGTCCGCCCAGCCGCCCGACTCAGGGTCCACCCGGGCCAACCTTACCGCCCGTGTGGGTCTGCGTCTCCGCCTGCTTGCGTTTCCGCCTGCTCGCGTTTCCGCAAGGAGAAGCAATCCACCCCGAAGGGGCGCGATCGAAGCGTAAGGGGGCGGGCCTCGAGGGCATGGGGCATGCATGCTGCGTGGCACGCAACTGATCGAGATTGAGCAGAGTGTTCGTCGGGAT